AGTGAATTTCACAGACGTCATGCTGAGTAGCTAGCTCAATCTGGGATGCAATGGAGTCAGAGCAGGAGTAGGTGATGTGAGGGTGGCCTGGGAAGGGACATCAGTGCTTTAAATCCTGAAAAGGATTTGGATTATACAATCACAAAATCTCAACAAATTCATACAATGTCTGTGCATTTCATTACATGTATTAAATAAAAGATTCAAATATAAATGAATAATAAATTTGCTATATGCATGCTTATGTACTGGGGGAATAATCTGACACTTGTGATTTATTTTGAAATGTACTGAAAAGCTAGGTAATAAAAGAGAACGGAACCTATGTGGTTGGTGTTTGGTAACACACAATAAAGTTACATAAACTACACTGTGTGTTTAAAATCTTCCCAACACAATGAGGAAGGTTCTGAGTCTCATCTAATATAGACCCTATTCTCCGTGTGAGTTAGAGATTGCACAGCAACACAGGGTACAGAAATTAGCTCCTGAGTTTTGTTTAGGTTCTAAAATGCTTAACATACACAAACATGGTGAGAAAGAGAAGAAACTGTAAAAATCATCATTACCATCATCATCTTTTTCTGATAGTCCTTACTAGCTTTGTACTCACTAAGTAGCCCAAGCTGGCCTGGAGACTGTGGTAACTCCAGTTTCTTAAGTGTATAGCCAACACTAAGAAATCATTGAATTCAAGCTAAATTATAGTAAGAATAGTCATTAACACCGGCATTTACTGTCATTGCAAACAATCTCATTTCTGAAGTACTTCCAATTATTGAACAAAAAGCCATCTTTCTATCAATTTATACATAAACTCTGCTTTATCAAAATTTAATCCAAAAATGGAAATTCAATTATCATACACACAAACACACACAACTTAGTAGGAGCTGGGATATGGTAAAAGCATTGCTCAGTGTGCATAGAGAACTGGGTTCCAAGTGCAGACCACACAAAACAAACAAAAACCACCTCCCACTCTATTGGGAAGGGCACTTTCCCAGGTCCTAACAGCTGCCATGCCATGGCACTTTGTACAAGCCTCACTTGCCTCCTTGTACAAAAGGGGAAAAAACAATGGCTTATACCTGAACTGGGTTTCTTCAGCAGGAATACTTCAAACAGACAGAACACAGTATATACAACTGGGCATGGAGGCTCATCACAGTTCAAGTACAGCCCTGGGGTGGGGGGAGGGGGAAAGGTGAGGGAGAGAGAGAACATGCCCCCTTCTGTAAAAAGGATACATAAGGTTTAATAAAATGCTCAGATATTGGGAAACTATGGAATATCTTAAGTTATTTAAACAGAAAAAAATCATCTCCACACTTGTTTAATAGCAACAGTGACGGATTTGTTTTTTTTTTTCTCCCAGAGTTGTGGTAAATACTGTAGAAACTAAAAGTAAGTTTGCCATGTCACTCTGAGAATAAAGCTTAACATCTCTACTTGCTGAGAGAATAGACCCTACGTCAGAGTGAGCCAGTGCAGATGCTAGCATGCCCATACCTTTTGGGGTAACATGCATTGTTTCTGTTGTTGCTGCTGCTGTAATTCCAGCACTGGGTACAGAACTGAGGGCCTCAAGCATGACAGCCCAGTGCTCTACCACTGAACTTCTTGGTATGAGTGGTGTCTACATTTCCTCCATTCTTTTCTATCTCTGGTATCTTTTGGAATCTTTTTTTTTTTTTTTTTTTTTTTTTAATCAACCATCCCATTACCAATCATGCAGCTGACACTCCCATAAATGTGACAAATGGCCAAAACTAGGCAGCTGTAGCTAATCATGTTAGCTGGATACAGCTCAATCTCTCTCACACACACCACCCTCTCTCAATATGTATTATGTGTATTTGTATGGACTTGTGTGTATCTGTTTGGTGTTCACATTCGAGTGTGTGTGTGTATGAATGTATGTATGAATGTATGTATGTATGTACGTATGTATGGTTGTTTGTGTGGGCCAGAAAAGATGTAAATCCTCTGGAGCTGGAGTTACACATAGCTGTGTAGCCCAGTATGGCCTGTAACTATGCAACCCAGCTAGCCTCCAACTTGTGGCAACCCTCCTGTTTCAGCCTCCCAGTTGCTAGGATTACAGTTATGAACCATCAGGCTCAGCTTATACTAGGAATTTGCTAGTGGTCATGTTATACTTAGACTAAGGAGGCCATTCCTTCTCTCAGAAAAGCCTCAACTGCCTTTCTGAATACACGGGTTTCTTTCTATCTCATAATACATACATACACACACCACACACACACAATGATTAAAAGGAGAAGAAACTCCATAACCACCAAAGATCTCTGCCAAGATAAGTCTAAAGTAACACTGCTCCAAATGCTCTCAAAGTGCTGAGCAAGCGCACGGCCACGCAGACCTACACAGCATTGTCCTTTCTTCTCTTGGATGCTGCCCTTCTCATTGGATTTGTTCTTCAATGTGTGTTTTCAGGTGTGGTGTGCATCCCAGCACATGAAAAGTGGAGGCAGGTCTACACAGTGTAGCAAGGCAGTCGGGGCTACATGGTGAGACCCTGTCTAACAACACCCCCACACACATACACACAAGAGGACAAATGCACCAAAAAAACCAAACTCAAACAAAAGAACCCCACCCAAACAACAAACAAACACAAAACAACAAGGTATAAATGTGCTAGGCAGATAACTATAACTCTGTAATTACAATGCTGTCTCTAAAATGCTCTCAGAGACACTAGATAGAGCTGTTAAGTATCATAAATGAGACTGAATTTTCCAAGCAGTAAATCCAAGTAGTAGACTTTAACATGTTATTACCTTGCTCATGATGTAATTATTTCTACATTCTCCTATGCAGATGATAATTCTACATAGGATCAACTTCAGAAAGATTTCTTTTTAGCTTATTGTATGACGTCAATGCATATTAATGTCCATAATCTGGAAATCCAAAATGCTCTAAAATCTGAAATTTTTTAGTGCTGACATGATGTCATAAGTATAAAATTCAACACCTGATCTTATGTGCTGGGACACAGTTAAAACAAGGATGGGCATAAAAGTGCCTTCAGGTTATAGACACAAGAGACGTATTTTTGTTGTTTTTGAGACAGGGTTCACTGTGTAGCTCTGACTGTCCTGGTACTCACTCTGTTGACTAAGCTGGCCTCTAACTCAGAGATCCTTCTGCCTCTGCCTTCAAGTACTGGGATTAAAGGTATGAGCCACCACTGCCCAGCCACAAGACATGTATTAAACATAAAAAAAAAATTTCATGCTTTGACCTTGTACCCATCCCCAAGATCTTATAATGTATCTGCAAATATTGTAAAATCAGGAAAAAAAATTGAATAATAAATCAATTTTGGTCCTTACGCATCTTGGATAAGGAATACCCAACCTGTAACTTTTTTTATGCACAAAAGATGATTTCATTTTTGTTTCATTTCTTGATTACTAACTCTTTGATGTTTAAATAGCCAACACCTTTCTCCTTAGTCCTGCTGATCACAATCAATTAGAAACATCTTTGCAGACTTTCAAGGGCCAGCTGGACAGCATCCACTCTTAACATGGGTCAGGACAAAATGAAGACTTTTATACAAATCTTCCAAGCTAAAATTCCATGTTCTAACCTTAAAGTTAAATCAAGAATGGTTTACTGCTGTTTTTTTTTTTTTTTTTTTTTTTTTTTTTTTTTATGCTTTATTGAGACAGGGTCTCATGTAGCCCAAGCTGGCTTTGAACTCACTACACACCTAGCTGACACAGATTGTCCTGCCTCTGCCTTTGGGTTTAATTAAGGCTTTTTGTTTTGTTTTGCTTTTAAGGCAAGGTTTTGCTTCATAGTCCAAGTTGGCTTTAAACTTGGAGCAATCCTGTTGCAGTTCCCTGAGCGATCGAGTTACAGGTGTGAGCTACCTGCCCTGACTGATCTTCCCTTGTTTTACAGTTATTCTTCTGAGGCTAAACTGGAAAAATGAGATGAACATGTGGATTCTGAGCATCTGAATTTCTCAAGCCAGGAATGTAAATATTCGCTTTCTCCCTACTTAGGTTACCTTTATCTAACATTCTGAAAGGTGATTACTGAAATTCAAGTGTCATGTTTAAATGGGTTCTAAGAAGAAAAAAACATTCCTTCCGAGAACAATCAATCTTCCTCTTCTCACCAGGTGAATCTCAAGCAGGAAAGAACTCCTCCTGGGGTTTCAACTGTGCTACAAGGAAGAGGCCACCAGGGGCCAGCAGTGCACGGAAGGGACCTAACAGAGGCCCCTTTATGTTCTTGACAGATAAGAAAATATCACTAAATGAAACAGATTCACTGAGTAAATAGGATGGAAAATCAGACCAACATCTTTAGATGTTTTAGAAGCTAAATAGGCTATCAATCAAGAAAAGGTTTCGTTTCAATTTTGCTTGGAATCTTTAGTAATATAAATACTCAGTGTTGGAAGGTAGCTCAGTCTGGAAAGTGCTTGCTACATAAGCATGCAAATCTGAGTTTGACTCTCAGGCCCCATGTAGATATCTGGGCTTGATGGTATGCCTTTAATCCCAGTGTTGGAGAAGCAGACAGGAGAATCCCAGACTGGCCAGCCAGACTATTGGAATCAGTGAAACTCAAATCCTCGTGAGACACTATCTCAAAACACAAAGTAGATGACTCTTGAGAACTACCATTGGCTGACCTCTGGCTTCCAAATGCACATGTACACATGCATGCACACATGAACACGCATACATATCCATATAAACACACCCAAATGCACTGGTATTAAGATACACACACACACACACACACACACACACACACACACACAGAATACGGTCAATGAGAGTATCATGCCATGGGAATAAGGCCATACAATAGAAATGATAATTTGAAAACTAGAATCAATTCTTGATAATGTATGGAAACACACACCAAGAAGCTGTGATGATTTTTGGCTCAAAAATATGATTTTACGTTACAAATCCTATTTCTAGTACTTAAGCAAAGCTTGGTTTAGAGTATATAGGATTTATTTATCTTTTCGTTGTCTTTTTGAGAACAGGTCTATTTAGACCAACCTGGACTTGAATTTGCTATATAGCCAGTACTGGCTTTGAACTCCTGATTTTTGCTCTATATGCCATGTGCTGGGATTATAGGTGTGTGCTACCACACCTGGCTTTTATGTTTAATATTTTATTTCTGCTTCTCGCTCCTACCTTGCCAATTAAAACATTATAGTAGTCTTTAAGAATCATGTTAATTATCCCTGCATCAATGATGTCTCCTTGACACCTAGATTTAACTGTGCTCTGTTCCCTAGCGTTTTCTATTCACAATAGCACCTCATCTAGAAGTTAAAATGCTGGGCCGGTTGGAGCAGCATTCTAGAGAGCATTTACAACAAACAGAGTCCTCACTGCCTTATGTGGCAAGAGTTTAAGCCATTCCTTTGAGGCTAGCACAAGATCTGTTCTGGAAAATACTGCAGCATGTTCCATGCAGATGAAAAGGAGGACTGGACACAGCTGATAGGGTGTTTCACCAAATGTCTCAAGTTACGATGATCTCACTGTCTTAATCATTTCTGTTGACAATGTCATCTTCTTCTCCAGGGTCACAGACCATCTGGTAAACATAGCAGCTGAAGACCCGGTTGGGTTTCTGTTCGATATGTAGCACCAAATCTCTGTCAAAGTATACTTCATGGCTATATGTCTGAAAAAACAAAACAAAACAAAACAAAACAACAAAAACAAAAAAACAAAAAACAAAAAACCAGTCACATGGGATCTGCTTTTCACAAAATCATAGGTACAGCTTTGTCACCAAAATATCATAGCACTACCCCAGGAACCTTTGTATGTATACAGATCCTTACTGACAGGAGAAGGCCTAGGCAGAAGAGATGCTGTTCTTTGTAACTTTTACCTATACATGCTCATACATGCAGGGGCAGGGGCGTGTGTGTATAGGCCACAGGGAGATGTCACATGTCTTCCTCAATCACTCTCCACTTTATTCATTGGACCCAGATCTTAATGCTTTGGCTGATCTAGCAATCTTGTGGGTTGTAGGGATCCAAACTTGAAATTGTTACATTTGCACAGCAATTGAACCATCTCCCCAGCCCCCTTTAAACTTGTTTACTGCTACCAACTCATTTTAGGTGGTGCTGGCACGTGAACCCAGGGTCTCTGGTATATTAGGCTGACTGATATTCCCCCAATGAGCTATATCCCTGGTACACGTATATTTTATAATATTTGGAAAAGCAAAGATTTCCAAGTGCTGCAAACTCAACTTGCTAAGATATTGCCTTTTATTAACTGGCTGTGGCAGACAATTACCTTATAATTTCATTTAAAAAAAAAAGTTACCAAACTTAAAATTGGGAGGAAAATAAAAGATTATGGCAAGGAAATAACATGCATCAAAAACTATAGTTTTATATTCAAGGGTACAGAAGGTATTCTTAGTGCTAAGAGGAAGAAGGCTTAGAAAGTATTCATTTTGTCTTGTATGTTGGACAGTAACTTTTTTTTCTTTCAGTGACTTCTTTAATGTGGTCATGGGTACAGGTGAGTCTGGCTGACAGGGACATGTTCTAATAAATGGCACCTGAAAAGGAAGCTCTTACAACTTAGTATTCCAATGGTTATACATACCACGTCCCATGACTCCACTAGTGGGATGCTCTTGAGTAGGGTCCCATACTCATTACAGTGGAAATCCAGGTGAGCCTTTCCTTCAGCATCTATTTGAGTGACAGCTACTACAGATAGCAAGTCCAACTCATCCTCATAGTCCACAATTTTGAAAGTCTTGGAGACAAATGAAAGTAGGGTTAATTCCAACTAATGAGCTAGGAATATTCCTATAGTTTAAATTTAATTATTCTATCCCTTATGAAAATATGACAGCAGGAAGAACAAGTGGGTGAGAGAATCAGTAGAAATGTTTCCCTATGTATATACCTGTAAAACATGGGTCATTCCCCAGATTTTTAGGTGTTAAGCAATATCCTGGAGACTTTGGCAAACAGGACCAAAAAGAACACTGAATCCTTTGGAACTGGAGTTGAAGACCTTTGTAGGATGCCCAGTTTGTAACATGGGTACCGGAACCTGAACTGGTCCTAATGATTGAACAGAAAGTGCTCTTGACTGCTGGCTGAGTCACCTCTCCAGTCCAAAAGTATTGCCAGAACGTTATCAACTTTATGACTGCAAGTGTTTTGTTTTTCATTTGCTTCTACAGGGATTGAACCTAGAAGCTCAAGCATGCTATTCAGTCACTCTATTGTTGAGCTATATTCATCATTCACCCTGAAGATTTGACTTTTAAGAACTATTTATCTTAAAATAATAATAATAAAAAAAGTGTGTGTGTGTGTGTGTGTGTGTGTGTGTGTGTATGCTTGCATATGTATGTGGAGGTCAGAGGACAACTCTGGGAAGAGAGTTCTCTCCTGCTACTTTGTAGGATCCAGGAACTGAGCTCGGGCCATCCAGCCTGCACCAGCCTGTGCACAAGTGTTTCTACCATCGTGAGAGCTAGCCGTTGAATGCATGTCTCACAAAACAGTAAGCTAATTGTGTTTTCAAATTATTTGGCCCTATAAACTTTATTACAAATTATGCAGAAGATTCCAATTAAAGAAGAGAAGGTGGGTAACACTGACTGAAACAACACATACCACCCCACTTCAGGGATCCCCTAACCAGTGTCTACCTCAGGGCCGGGAAGCATTAATTCGAATGGAATTGGCTCCTGGCTTGGATTGTTATCTTTGACTAAAGAATACCTCTTGTTCTGGGTCATCATCCAGAAAGTTGACATTTCTTTTCACCACGCGTCCAGAAGCTGTAACAGTGATTAAGTTTTCATTCTATCAGAGGGGGAGGGAGGAGGAAAATCAGGATATGCTCCATTGCATGCAATCAAAGGCAACGGTCCTCAGAAATGTAGAAATGTGGTAAAACCAGCTGGCCCTTCCAACACCCACAATCCTTCAGCTGATTGAGAAAATTCCAAATTTAATTTAAATCTAATTTTCAATCCTTCACTCAGTGAAAAATAATTTATTTTAATAAAGGGTTTAAATGGATAAAATGTTAGAATAGGCAAAAGTTCATTAGTTACAGGTTACACATTTGCTCTTCATCCATCCTTCTGATGTTTGCCCTAGCATAAAACAGACGACCAGAGGTGTATCTGCCTTCAGAAACTTCCCTCTTCAAGGGTCTCAGCTTATACATAAAGGAAAAATAATAGCCACAGTTAATGTGTGGTACCTGGTTTTATAGGATTTATACCATACCTAACTCTAACTTTTGCACAACTTTTTAGAATTAAAGATTCACAATTCATCACAAAAAAAATAGGCAAAAAAAAAAAAAAAATTCAGTATAATCGACTGCTTTCAAGTCTCATCTGTGAGTGAGGTTAGACCAGTGACTCAGGCAGATTCTGCATTCTGCAGAGCTGTGGTGTGTGCAGCCTAGCAGGAAAACAGGCATATTACAAGTTCCCTTGATGGTTCTACAGAAAGGACATAAATATTTCTGACTTACTCGGTCTTCTCTATTGGCCCAGATGACAAAATCTTCAGAGATCTGATGCTGCGAACTATTATTTTCTACCTCACTGAGCTTCAAGACTCTGAAAAGAAAAAAAAGAATTCTAAGAATTCATGATTGCAAAACACCATCAAATGGCCAAAGCTGCCCTCAAATGAAACTCAACAAATGAAACCTGCAACTCACTTCTCCTCCACTGACTAGTCTGTAATATTAACCTCGTCACCAAAATCCATAAGGCCTGTTACACTCACATTTGTGAGACGGAAAAGCGCAGCTGTGAGGAGCGGCAGTAATGCAGTGGCTTGCTGAGGCCTAAATCATTCTTCAGCAAGCTTAAAGACACTGCCATGCAAGCCTCACCCCAACTAACATTAGAGTACACAGCTGCACTGACGTTTCTGTAGAATGTATAGCTAAGAATAGCACTTGGGGTTAACAGTGACTGAGGCAGGACCAGCAATTAACTGGAATGCAGTACTTATCAAAAAGTAAAAATCTGCACCCAACAACACCATTTCTTTCTTTCTTTTTTTTTAGGATTATATTTAGAGATTTGGATTTGCAGAGTATAAATGATCTCATGGGTCAAGCTGATTAAACAAGAGAAAATAAACTAATTTGCTTCCCACCCACAGAAATCTGTTCACGTCATTAAAAGCTTCAAAGTCACAATGTTCTCAAAGATCTAAAGTCCCAGTGCAAAGAGAACAAGGAGGAGCCGACACAGCAGGGACAGCTGGACACTTCACAGCTGACTACAAAGAAATCAGACAGTGATGGATGAGTTTTGTTAATTACTGGAAATATTCAAAGGGCCTTATCTTTTAAGACCCGGGGAGACGCCAGGCTTGGTGGTGCACACCTTTTATCCTACCACTTAGAGGCAGATTTCTTTGAGTTCAAGGCCAGCCTAGTCTACATATCAAGTTCCAGGACAGTCAGTGCTACACAGAGAAACCTTGTCAATAAAAAAAAAAAAAAAAAAAGTTTCTGGCATGAGACAGATGAGAGGTCTGGGTTAGTATATCACTCACTGGGATGAGGGTTGGGAGCAAGATTATATATATATATATATATATATATATATATATATATATATATATTTTTTTTTTTTTTTTTTTTTTTTTTTTTTAAATCAAGGGAATGCTAGAATCAAACAGGAAGAAAATCCTGAGTGATGGTAAGCATCTGCCAGTGGAAGTCTGGGTAGAAGAGCAAAACCATGCAAAGACTGTAACAAAGAAGGCTGAGAAGTAGGAGAAACTATTTTCATGTCAGGGAAGCCACTTGAGGACCATTTTAAGGAAGAAGGTTGCCTTGAAAGAGGACAGTAAACAAACACCAGTCCATGACCTCAGAACAAAGGCAGATCACCACCTTTCTATGAGGGCACCGGAGCCTGGACCAGGGCCTCACTCACCACAGGAAAGTGCTCTGCTGATGAACTACATGTCCAGCACCACTCCCCTTTCTTGTTTGTTTGTGTTTTAAAAACAGGGTCTCACAAAGTTGCCCAGGCTGGCCTTGAACTTGCAATCTTCCTTCCTTGGCCTTTTGGGCAGCTGGGATTGCAGGCCTGTGCCCCCTGGTCTGCTGTCTTCTTTCTCATCAGTCCTAGGTATGGTTAGGTATGTAGCACCCTCCTGTAATCCCAGGAGCCAGTGCACAGAGGCAGAAGGCTATGAGTTCAAGGCCAGACTGGGCTACAGATACATGCAGCCAGTAGGTAATATTTACAGAGAGTAATGATAAAGCCAAAGAATAAAAGCAGATTGTGTAGACAATAGTCTCTTAGGAAATACTCCGAACAAGCAAAATTTCCATAAAATTACAATGGCTACAAGCAAAATAAAAAATGCCAAAAAAGAAATGCTTTTAATTTCAAAGTACTAACAAAAGTACTCACTTGACTTGATTTGGGCCAACATGTATAATTCTTCCAGAAGCATCAGGGTGGAAATAGATCCAGTCAGATTCTAGTGAACAACACTCCATTTCTTGGATCCCATTTTTTGCCTTAAGTTGGGGGTGGGGAGGAGACAGGGATTAGGAGGGTAAATACACTTTCAAATCTACCCTCTTGGTAACTCACAGGAGAGACAGGAGGCAGCTGAAGTGGGATGTGTATGAGGGCCAAATGAGGACACACAAAGTCAAGAAACTCACAACATCTCAGGTCAGGAATGTCACAGATGGACCCTGTGCCGCCTCTCCTGCATGTGCTGTGCATTGGGGCTGTGATGATGCTTCCTCACAGCTACATGGAATTTTAATGACACTCAAAGCAAATATCAACCCCACACATCATTTCCTAGGGCCGATGAGAGAGAAGATGGCTGAACCAGGCGGCCCAGGCCTGCAATCCCACTGATGGCTAAGGGACTGACACACAAAGACAGCAAATATCTGCCCGATGTTTGGAACCTATTAAACAGCAGAGCTGACTCCAAAGTCCACCAACTTTCCATTACTGTACACATGCAGTTCCCTACAGCTTCCTCCTCCCAACCCTGTCCACAGCTGCCTGTCAATCACAAGAGTCCGTACATTCACACAGACACGTAACCAAACCAAAAGTCTCTGACTCAGGTCACATAATCTCCTTGAATAAGTCAAATATTAAACTCTAATATCTGAGCAAAGAGTCTAATACCGATGAGCATTTAAGACAAGAATAGCTTTATTCTAAAATATGTAGGTATATGTAGACATTAAAATAAATAAAAAAGTGAAGTAGGTACTGCATGCCTTTAAACCTACTACTTGGGAGGCAAAAGCAGGTGGCGCTCTATGAGTTCAAGCATGGTCTACAAAGTGGACAGCCAGTGATACATAGTAAGACCCTATCTCAGCAAAGGGGGTGTGTGGGCATATGATCCACATGTACTCATGTTTTACCATCTACACAGCAGCACCGGGAACTAATAGCAGTGTGCATCCACTAACTTCTGGCCTTGGCAATTATTTATACATGTGCTAAAATACAGGCCTCACCAAATGTTATAATTGTTAATAGATAGTATGTGATAGATATGCTTAAAGACCACTTACTTATTTATAACAGAACACATAGAGTCAGTTCTTATATAAGAATACATGCTAAATGTATAGGATATGCAATGTCCAAGGTTTGACTGGATGCAAAATTAGGTGGAACAGAGAGTAACAGGAACCGGTGGTTGAAGAAGGTCCTGGTTGAGAGGTGAACAGTCACAGCAGGACTTGGTTTTGTTTTTTGTTTTTCAAGACAAGGTTTCTCTGTATGGCTTTGGAGCCTGTCCTGGAACTTGCTCTGTAGACCAGGCTGGTCTCGAACTCACAGAGATACACCCGCCTCTGCCTCCCAAGTGCTGGGATTAAAGGTATGCGCCACCACTGCCCGGCTCACACCAGGACTTGTAATGGCAGGAAAATTCTTTGTAAAATTTTACAAAAGGGGGGAATCTTACTGGGGGAGGGGGACAACAGAGGCTGTTACATGTGACCAAGAAGTGAGAAAATGGGAGAGAAAAATGCTCCTACAAAAGTAAACTAGAAGACACTATGGCATCAGTAGGAGAAGACAATAGGACCTAAGACTATGCTGCCCTCCAACATGATGAAAGGTGATGACCTGAGACTCTAAAACCTACTGGAGCCAATAGACTGACTGTGCAAGGATCCTGCAAGACATGAGTGTGGAATCCACTGAGTCCGCCTCATAAAAAGCAAATTTATCTGATATAACAAGAGATTCCAGGAATAAACTACATAAGTCAGCAATACAAACGAAGATGAGAGATGTAGCATGGGTCAGTGGGTAAAGGTGTTCTCTGGGCAGGGAAAGAATCTTTGGGGAGTACAAACAACCTGAAGAAAGAAAAATGTATCCACAGCCATGTCTAGCCATGCTAAACCTCAAATGATTAAATGGAAAATCAAGAAAAGAAATCATATTTTGAAAGAAAATTGAGATGAACTTAATTGGTTAAACTTTTACTGTTTTGCCATGAGCCATTTCTTCCTGTGGTGTCAGAAGCAACTTGAGGAAACCCTTGAAAACCACCATTTCAGCGCCAACACTGTGAGCTCCAGAACTCCATCTGGTTCTGCTCTCTTCAAAATCAACAACACATTCCACAGCAATTTCAGAGGCAGCCTGAGTATATTCTAGCAACAGTTCCCACGGCAGCATCTGAGAGATGCTTTCCATGAGAACCCTGCTGCAGAACTGTTAGAACAAAACCCTTCTCTATGTATGACAACACATAACTACTGTCACAGCACTTGGGAGGCAAAGATGTGAGTGTCAGATGTTGAAGGCCAGTCTTGCCTATGCAGTGAGTCTGAGGTCAGCCTGGGTTACATGAGTGTCTAGGACAGGGAGGGAGAGGGAGAAAGGGAGAACAAGAATCCTTGGTGCTCTAAGACCTTTCAAACATTGTGTTTTAAAAATCTGGGTGACAAAACAGTATTTCCTATGTTCTCTGCATTTTAAATTGTTCACAAGTGCAGAGTGTGGTGGTACACATCTTTAACCCCAACACTGCGGTAGCAGAGGCAGGAGGATCTCTGTAAGTTCCAGGCCAGTCACCTCTACATGAAGACCCTGTCTAAATGAGAAGGTAATACCTGGACAAACAGAGCTATGAGAGGAGTAGGGAATAAAAATTTCTAATATAAATTTCCTACTAAAAAGCTGAGTACTCATGAATTACCAAGGAGTTATCTTTCAGGGCACAAATGTGGAAGACCCCTTTCTGCTTCTTCTTATTTGGGGTGATGATATAGTGCCAAGGGTGGCCTCCGATCTGAAATGCATTCTCCAGGGATGAGACTTCAAAGAGTGGAGATGGTGAGCCTGTAAAGATGAGCAAGAGGGTGGACCTGCAGCATTCATTAAGCATTCATTAACTTCTTGGTACATATACATACTTTATGAAGTTCCATTAGTGAAAAATTACTATGTTCAAAGGAATAAAATGCAGTCACAAAAGAAGACTGTTGTTAAGAGAACAGAAAGCTAGTAGAAAACAAAGTGAGGCTATTAGTTAAATTTCTAGGCATGTATTTTGGTGGGAACATGAGACCTACATGAGGAGAGAAAAAAAGGGGGGGCTGAAGGTGCTTGTGCTTATCATGGGGGCGAGGGAGACAAATACATAATAAAAACTGCAGCCATACCCAGGGATCTATGTGTAAGACTCTGGGTTAGCCACAATGTCAACTCCCTGAACAATCGAGGAATATAATCAGGTCTAATAAATCTTTCAGAGGCAAGGAGACCTTCCATATCATAACCTGACAGCAAATTTACAAAAGCTGTCCTGTGTTAAATTTCTTGTATAGAAGCAACATTAGTCTGAATGATTGCAGCCAAGCTAGGATGGGGTCTGCCATAATGGAGGTTTTATTAAACAGTAGACATCACTACCAGAATTACCATCAAACAAGCTAATTTTTACAGCTGTATCCAATCAGTCTCTTGGGGATAGACATCAAAGAAAATTTTGTTGGTTCTTTTTTCCTTCTTCCTCTTTGATCATGGTTTTAATTATAACATAATAGATCCACTCTAAACACTGTAAGGAAAAGGTATTGCAGTGAGCTCACAATTTCTTTTGTGGCTATAGATTACACTGCTCATCTACAGCCTCCTGATTTGTGCTTCTACCTTGAGAGTATCTGGTTTATAAAGCCACTCGTCTTCAAGGGGTACTTTCAGAAAGATCACTCATGTAAGAGTTACATGAGTTAAAATGGAAATGCGTGCTTTGTTAGGGCTCTTCTTACTTCTGAGAGCTATACACAGGAAAAAAAAAAAACAATAATAAAAAGTACCTTACAAACAATTTTGGGGAGGAAGAAAGAACAGGTGTAGATATAGTTATAGCAATATTAAAGTACTTCAAAACTTTTAAGAAAAGGAAAATACCTTTAATAAATAAAACTAAAAGAAAAATATTAATATTCCAAAATAATAAACAGACAAAAGGCATGTGTCAGTAAATCATGTAAGAGAGTCAAATGTCATGTGATGATAAACTCAGGTTTGGTTCCCAGCATTCTCATCATAATTATCTACAACTCAAGTTCCAGGGGATCCAGCACCCTCCTCTGGCCTCTGCTGGATACAGTGACTTACACAGTGGAGAAAACTCTTAAAGAGCTTTCTGAACAGGTTTGTATTGAATGCAGGGGTTACTTCTGAGGTTAGGAGGTACTGATAACTTTTTATTAAACTACCTAATTCATTAAAAATGAATCATTTTTAAAACATTTATTGTAGACACAAATGTTAAAAACAGTTAATAGATATAATAACATCATGTGATTAGCCTCAAAATAATCTAATAAGTGTGTGGAGTAGAGGGAAGAAATGGGATGGGAGCAGAGAAAAGTAAGACAACATTGGCCAGGAATTAAAGAATGATGGGCATGTGGGGGGGGGGTGGTCGTTAAGTTTTATGGGTCTTTGAGTAACGACTCAAGATACTCAGTCTTTTTTTAAAAACATGGAATGACTGTGTCTGCTTATCCTCAGATCTCCTTCTCTCCCTAGGTCCTTTGTTTCCCTCTTCTTGACCCTTTACAAATCAACCAGTTGAGAATAGTCCATAAGACAGAACTTCAGCCACGGCAGGATAGCCAAGACTCCCCTTATGTTAGAGATAAAAGCCAAGGCCATCTTGGTGCAGCATGCTTGTTAGCCCAATTTTGGTCATGGCAGACTTTTCACAAAAAGAAATTGCCTTGTGTGGTTACTTTCATTTTGTTCATGTGTTTCTTTGTGTGACACCAAGATTATTCATTTCCAGCAATGGGAACATTTATAAAAAGGCATTAGGGCTACAAAAAAAAAAAAAAAATATTTTGGACTTCATGGATAGCTTAATGGTTATATTGGGCACCTTTCATAGCTTATATAATTACCATTTGCCACTAAACAGAGCTGTCTTTTCTTTTCTTGCATTTTTCATTCCTCTTTCTTGACCTATTTGTTGATGTAACTAATGATAGAAAAAACAATTCCTGTTTTATTCTGGCTATATTAGAGAAATTTTGGAGGTTTACCTAAAACAAAAACATAGTGTTTATTGGTTAAAAGATGAAAGATGAAAATGCTCTCAGCATCATAATGAGTGAATTAAAAATAGAGACCGAAATACTAGATAATGCCATTTATCCAGTTGCCTCTTAAATGGACTGCAATCATCAAGCTTGAGAAGAGATCTGTACAGAGCTGCCATCTCCACAGTGTGTGATACACTCAAACACCTTATGTAATTTGCTTATTTCCTTTGGTGGATGACACCCCCAATCATTAAATTATATTGTTCTATAACAGGAAATAATTTCAAAGACTATGTTTTTGAACATTATTATTTTACATTTTTTTTTTTTTTTTTTTTTTTTGAGACAGGATCTCATGAAGCTCAGGCTGAATTTAATAAATCAGGGTGTTTGTTTGTTAGTTTGTTTTTGAGAAGGAGTCTGATGCAGCACAGGTTGGCCTCAAACTCACTAGGTAGCCAAGGATGCCCATGAACTCCTTGATCCTCCTGCCTTCCAGATGCTGGGATGTAGGGATGGGCCACCATACCTGGCTCAGTGAGTTAAATACAGAATTTATTTTTTTAACTGTCATCATTGAATCACATATAACTTTCTTTTTTATTCTCCACAGGTCTATGACCTGTCTATCTTTAGTTAACACAGCATTCATATTTTTTTTTGAAAAACACTATCCTTAGAAATGGGCAGACTTAACAAAATGAAGGTTATAAGGAAGTCAAAGATAGTATGAATTGACACAACTCATCATTTTCCTGACAAGGAAATCAAGGATTAGAAAGGTAAAATAACTTGCCAGGAGGCTCAGTATCCCCTGGCCTTCATTCCAGCGAACAATGGACAGAATTATGCTGACATTTACTCAACAGTACATGCTGTATGGAAGTAAAATGGGCCAGTGTACAGTCAGAGAGAAAAGTGTGGGTGCTTTCAATGCAGAACTATTCATATGAGCACTTACTTTCTTAAGTTGAAAGATCCTGTATAACAGCCATACCTGTGATCTTAACATTACAAGGAATGCCAAAAGGAGCCTCTCCTACAGTCCCAGTAGTCCCGCCCTGACTGCATGCACACCCTAAGTCAAGTTTCTGTTGCATGAACTAAAAACAAAACAAAACAAAGATGGTGGCTTTAGAGCCTATTTATGAAAAAATAATATTTACATGTACATGACAGAGAAAATGTCTTCATCCCAGGGCCTTTCTGTTCATCATCCCCACCCCTCTTGCAAAGGCTACTGTGTCTTTTCATATTTCTGTAATAACTTTTATAATTTAAAACTGCAAGCATCTGGCTTGTTGAAACAGTAACAACAAACTTCAATGCAAGCCTCATACTGAGTGTGATATGTCCAACTGAAGTTTTCTCTACCTGTTCGATGATGGCTTGGAAGCTATACAGTCTGACCAGTCCCGAGCTGTACATCACAATCAGTATTCCATGTGACAAGGTAGCATCCGTGACATTCGCGAAAACCTAAGGAGAAAGGCAAATGTCACCTAAGAAAAGATCAGAAGGCCAATCCTCCGAGTGTTCAAAATGTTTGTGTTTCCTGCTTTGTGTTCAGGTCATCATTGCTGCCTCACATTTACACTCAATTAAAATTTAGCAGCTTGAAGTTGGAGTGTTATTAGAGGCAAGCAGCAGGCCACTGACCCTCAGGCTGGAGCATCAATGGAAGCACAGCATGCAGGGCTCAGAATGATATGCCAGCATCCATTTACTACCCAGCTTTGTCAACATAAATTAATTAAACATTCTAATTGCCATGGAACAGTGGTATACAGTGAGGCCATGCAATTTTAAATGTGTATTCATCAGGTATATCCAATAAAGACCCATTTACACTAAAATGTTCTTCATAAAGACAAATAGTTATAGCTGTTTAAAGGCAAAAAGATTGGACCGTGGAAAGTAATTACAAGAGAAATGGCCAGCTGCAGATGCATGTGTGTTTGTGTGCCTTGGGTATAGTGCACGTATGTGTGCAGGTATATAACCTATGCTCCTGTGTGCCGTACAAGAGGATGACATGGGCGTCCTGTTCTACCACTCTTCACTTTATTCCCTTGAGACAGGGTCTCTCTCACTGAACCAGGAGCTTTCCACTTTTGCAGCTAGGCTAGCTGCCTGGCAAACCCTGGGAAACCCCTCCTGGGCAGTGCTAGGGTTGCAGGTAGACATGGCTATGCCTGGACTTTATGTGGGTGCTGAAGATCTAAACTCACATTCTCATGATTACATAGCAAGTACTTTTACCTACCAAGTCATCTCCCTAGTTCCCAACTCCAGATTTTTGTCACTATTATGTGCTTGAATTTCTATTGAAGCTGGATTTCTCAACTGCTTACAAAGCAAAGCCATAAAGACCAAACCCCTACAGACATTTATTGAGAATAACACTTTGGCTTATTGTCCCCTAAAACTTCTATTTTTGATTCTTGTGATTCTTTTCTCTACGGCTCTGAGAAAGGACACGATTCTGTGCCTCTTTTAATATGCAACAAAAAGCAAAGCAGGCAAATTATTTATAGTACTGAAAGCTGTATAGAGGAAATAAAAATCTGTTTTGACTTCTATTCAAAGAAGATTACACAGTGAAGATGTACCATGGTAATAAGTAGCTTAAGCACACGACTGCTCAAGAGCTTCACCCCAGTATACTTTTTATACATGTAATAAGTGAAAGATGTGCTGTAATCCTGAGTTACAATAATCAAAACCAAACCCCTCGGTGATTATGTTGGATACATTAAAAATAAACAGAAACAACTTTGACTTTGCCAGTCTTTTTGTGTCTGCTCCTGCTGTAGAATGTAATACACATATAATTACTTAATCTACAGCATAAAGAAAACAATGAAGTTACAAGTTGGGCTTTTTGTCATTTTCTTAGAAAGATAATTATGGTTTGCTTTGAGTTGGGTAGCTCTTAGCTTTTTAATTCCCTACTCCTGGTTCCACACTTTGAAAAGAAGTACTTGGGTAATTTAAACATTTTAAAATTAGTAAATAGCTGCTCAACTTCTAATAGAATACAGTGTCACAATGTCTTAAAAATACTGAAAAGTGACTAGCACAAAATAAACTATAAGTGATAACTATTTTATTCTTTAATTTATGCAATTTTGTATAAGCTTACATAATAGGAAATGTTTAAATAGATTTATCTTGTTTGTTAGTGAATACTAGTAAATTCTCAAGACCTTGTCTCCTACAATAATTTCAGTGTTTAAACACTAGTAGAGGAACCCTGAAAATAACCTTTCTACAAAGTGAAATTTTTTTTTTAAAAAACTATTGACTCTTTTACTCAATTCAAATTTGGCCCTTCTTTTCTCCATGTGTTCCACAAATCAAGACAAATGGGAACACAATAAAAACCCAAACTGCATGAGTTAGAAAATTTACATACTCTATTACAAGTCTTGTTTATATACAATAAAGCAAGTTTTCGACCTGTACCTTGTAATTAAAATGAGACATTCTGCTGAAGCCTAATGATCATTTTAACAAGCTTTGACATATTCCTTTTGAAAAACAATCCTTAGGCATTTCATGATATTATAAAATAGCAGTTTGTTAATGACCACAGGTTTCCAACACTAATAACACTAGTCATCTGAGAGATGTAGACACACACAGGAAGCTTAGGTTTCTCCCAAGTCAAATGTTTATAATTTGATTTGAAAAAAGACACATCAGAGGGAGGGAGGGAGTGACGGAGAGGGAACTGGGATCAATATGTAAAATAAGAAAAATAAATAAAGAAAAGAAAAAAGACACATCAGTAAACATTTTATAACAGGAGAACATTCCTAACCAAAATATCTAATAAATAAAGATATTACACTTAATTGTCAATAAAATATTGCACTTAAGTAATTGTAGTATGGTAGTGCACAACTTGAATTCCAGCACTTGGGAGGCAAAGGCTGGTGGATCTCTGAGCTTAAAGCTAGCCTGCTCTACAAAGTGAGTTCCAGGTTATCCAGGACTACATAGTGAGAAGAAAAAGAAAATAAAAAAGGAAGAAAGTTAGTTTTCTTATATTTATGGTTGTGAGCCTAGCCTTTAACAGCAGAGATATCCCGCCAGCCCGAAAGTTAGTTTTCTTACCTTTTTGTTGATCTCTAGAATCCCTACAAGTGAAAAGGGCAGAACCCGGAATACTGCAAGGTACAACAAAACAGGCTGCTGAGTGCCTGCCTAGAAGAAAAGAATAAAATTATAGGTAACTCTACAAAGTACTTCAGAAAATAATTGTCTTCACAAGTCTAGAATATCCATCTGTTCTTGTATTATACAAAAGTTTTCATGAGTTGAGGATATCCATCTACTTAGATTGAAAAGTTACTTCACCAATAAAGCAAACATACTAAAAAGCCCACCAATCCTCTGTCCTCAGACACAGAAGTGCACAAACATAAAACTCTACAAAGGGAAACATAACCATCTCTTACTATCAAATGCTATGTATTTGTTGTGGAGTTCTAACGACGGAGGCTAACCAAAAGCATGGTGTTACTATGGTCATATATCACTGAGAGTACTTATAGTCTATAACTGTACCGAAGACAGATAATTCATCAATAAAAACTTAAGTGATTTATCAACTTGGAGAAGAGGACTCCTTTATCTTGGGAAAAAAAAAAAAAAAAAAAAAAGGCTCCCAACAATTATTTCCATTATGAAATGTAGCACTCTATTTACTTCTCTAGTGCAGAATTCAAGGGAGGGAGTATCTTCAATTTAGGGGTGGCACAGCAGTCAGCCCCATCACAACAAAATTCTGCTTGAGCAGAAATAAGGTTTGAGCATGAAGATTATCAATCAAAACGACAGGAAATAAAAGGTTAAAGCACAAACAAATACAAAGGGTCATGTTATAAAGCCCCAGAGACCTTCCCTTTCAAAAAAACACACTTTTCCTAAGCTAAGCTCTGTGTACCTAAAACCTAAAGGCAGGCGTATTTATAAATTGTGGGAACAAGGTCTCAAATGCAGAAATGCTTACAGGACTTTTAATAACATTATCAGGTGATAAGCAAAAACCTTAAAAGAGTTAGACAAAGTCCTGGTTCTTCAGGTAAATTCCTAAAGAGGCACATTAGATCAGACACTTCTAGAACTCCATGAAATGTTGTGCTACTTTGTTAAAGCATTTAACTTTTTATGAACTTTCATTTAACAAAGCAGAGAGCTACACAGTGAGTGTGAAAAACAGCAACAATATTTCACAACCCTTTCACAGGCCAGCTACCTCGATAATATGAGAAAAGGGCCAAGGAGATCCCAATAAAATGTATGTAGTTATGCTAGTAATATGACTGGGCAAGACTGGGAAATAGTTACAAATAACCATCATTAAAATTAAGTTTAGGTCCAGTGAACTGGCTCAGTGGTGAGGTGTTTGACTCCTGCAGGCTGTCCTGTCCTCCTCTACATGTATGCTGTGACACGTACTCCGGGCCCCACACACAGAAATAACTCAGTGTTGTTTAGAATTTTAGATAAAGTTCAAAAGTTAATTAATAGCTTATTTGGTTCAGTGGCATATGCAAAGCCAAGGAGGCAGGGAAGAGAGGAATGGAAAGCAGAGTGTGGAGTTGATAAAGGAGTACCTCATATGGTTATTTAAATAAGGTAAAAGCAGGGGAAATTTTTAATTTGTGAAAAGGTTCTAAGTCAGGACCAGTAGCACATACTGGTAATCCCAGCTCTAGGCAGGCTGAGGCAGGAGGATCTCAGCTTGAAGACAGACTGGGCTGCACATCCAAATTCTCCAAAACACAAAACTAAAAAACCAAACAAGAAGCCCTAAAACAAAATAAATAAATAAATAAATAAATAAATAAATAAATAAATGAAACCACCCCAAATAAAGAGCCACCCTAGAGTTCTAAGTAAATTATCTGATAATCAACGTTACAGGGATTTTTCTAAAAAGCTATCTTCAAGAACTAACTTGAAGATAGATCTTGCAAAAGCAGAAAATAACTGCTTTTTATTACAGTTGGTTTTTTTACAAATCCTGCTTTAACAGAAAGCCTCTGGGGCGGGGGAATCTGTATTTTATAAAAATACTCAGTAAGTATTTCCTTATCATTTACAACAGAAATAAGTTTCCTTCTAGGTCTAGGCTTTATAAATTGTGGGCAATCCTTTTTGGGGGTGGAGGATTAGGATCTTACCATGTAGCCCTGACTGGCCTCCTGCTTATGCTGAGATTAAGGGCTTGCACCCCCATGTCTGACCAATTCTGTGTGATTCTTAGAGAGAACAGCTGAGGGGTGTAGTTCAGCACAGAGAACTAGACCAGCATTCACTAGGCCCTAGGTTTAATCCCCAGAGCCCCAAATTAAATAAACAAAAATGAAACAGAGAGGCGTCCATTTGAACAGCTTGCTTTGGGAGAACAATGATCTTCAAATTTAAACAGCACTCTTCAGTCACCAAAGGCCATGAGCTTTAACAAGTGTGCAAACACTTAGTCCTGCAGACCTGCTGGGCCACTGCTGAGCCTTTGTTCTGAGCTGACTTGACAGCAATGACCTCTTGAGGAGTGTCCCAGCTCAAGTACCTTTGGAAAGAACAAAGAGGAATTCAGAGTTTTGGACCAGTCCTCTATATTTAAAATCAAAGCATTATACTTTATTCACTTATCTCTCTACTTTTGTTTTGAGATAGAATTTGGCCTAGGACACTTTAGGTAACCCAGGCTGACCTTGAATCTGCTGTCCCACTGCTGAGTGTCTCTCCTGCTGAGATGCCAGGCATAAACTATCATGTTTGGCTTGGTATTTTATATGCTTTTTTTAAAAATATATATAACAAATTATAAATGGAAATCTATTTTAAAAAACAAACAGCTTTAATAATTTCCTCTAGATCCTTACATAGATACATCCCTACTTAAAACATAATTTTTTTTTTCTTTTTCTTTTTTTTAGTACAGGGTTTCCTGTATAGCCCTATAGACCAGGCTGGCCTTGAACTCAGAGATCTGCCTGGCCCTGCCTTAGAGTAAAGGCATATACTACCACCAACTGGCAAATTTTAATTCTAGATGCCTGCAATCCCAGTAGTTGAGAATTAAAGGCAGGAGTTCAAGGTCAGCTTGAGAGCCAGTCTCAAAACACAAGCAAGCAAACACACAAACAAAACACCCTCCTACATATAAAGAACCATTCCTACTTTATTTACTTTTGGTTTTTCAAGACAGGGTTTCTCTGTATAGCCCTGGCTATCCCCGAACTTGTACCGGCTGGCCTCAAACTCAGAGAGATCCACCTGGCTCTGCTTCCCAAGTTCTCGGATTAAAGGTATTCACCGTTTCCAATTTTAATGTAAAAAGTACATTTAATGTAAAATATACAAAATGCATACTCCTAATCATTCTGAAATTTACATCTAATTATAAACTAGTAGTTAAAATTGCATTTCTTGGATTATACTAGAATGGAGAACTCATTAGCCATCTACCTCTAACTATTACTATAGGATAACTACCTATTAGGGATACAAAGATAAATAATGTAGGGCACTAGCCTCAGATCTTCAAATAGAGCAAAGTAAAGGAACCAAAAAAAAAAAAAAGTAGTTCATAAACTGGGATCATAAAATACACTGGAAAAATTGGGGCAGAAGGCAGGACTGAGGAGGGGCTTAAGATTTCCTGGGCCACAATCTCAAAAAGAAAACAGGAAAAAAAAAAAAAAGTCAAAAAATAACCTCATAGTTGATACCTGAACTTGCAATAGGAAGCAAGATATATTTTCTCCAGGATTTCCCCTGTAGTTGCTGATATACGAAGCAGCCAATTATGCGCGGTCAGTGCTATGAGTGAGGACTTATAATCTGACGGGTCGGGAAGTATTTCTCCCTTAAAAAAAGAGAGACAGATAAAAACAAACTGCTTGGCTAGGAACAATCTGTAGTATACTGTGTCCAAACAAAACGGCTTATTTCCTCATCAAATAAGTAAACCAGAGAATTACTTACTAACTGCACAAATGAAGAAGGCAAGGAAAAACAAGACTGTGGGTTGTTACTTTAGCCATTATTATTTAATGCTTTTAAAACGTGTTATTGTGTGCCTTTGGGTGCACAAATCACAGTGCACATGGAAGACTGTTTTCTCCTCCTCTTGTTTGTTTGAGACGGGGTAGCCTATGTAGCCTTAACCAGCGGGAACTCACTCTGTAGATACGATGGCCTCAGACTCAGATCTGCCTGCCTCTGCCTCTTGAGTGCTGGGATTCAAGGTGTTTGTCACCATGCTCAGTTCTCCTGCTGCTTCTGGGGATCACACTCAGATTGTCAGGCTTAAGGTCTCTAAGTACTTTAGCCACTGGCCATCTCACTAGTCTTTTGAACATTGTAGATGAGTTTACTCACATATTTACACAAATGAACACAGTGTTTACACTGCATCTGGAAGAGCTCACTCAGCATTGCTTACCCAAGTATTCTCCAAATGCAGCCAACAATAACAGGAGCATTAGCAATGCTGCTGATGTGGTAACAACTACTGAAGCTCTTAGAATCAAACAGTAAGAGTCACTATTTTGACGTGGTACAGGTCTGATGCAGAATGGAAAGAGGAGCAAATGTTTTGATTTTCGGTTAGTGAAGTTATGAACTGAGAAGTTGAAATTAATGTAGCGTTTGCTTCAGCAAAACACAAACAGGAAAGCAGAGGCCACAACCTCTGCATAAACTACAAGAGCTGTCTTTCCTCTCAAATTCCAGGGAAACAACTGTTTGCTTGGTTTTATTTATTTTTGTTGTTTTGTAGGCAGACCCTGTGTAATACAGGCTGTGAACTGGTCATCCTGCATCATACTGATGTAATTTTTAAACATTATTAACTAATTATACTTAATTTGTAGGCAACAACAAGAATGCTTTTATACTATAATGTCTTATGTATCATCTCATGTAGATCTTAGAGTTTTAAAGGATCTACTATCTCTACCTAGTCCATTAGGGAGACATTTGGAACAAGTACATGTTATATATAGACTTGAACTATTTTTTCTTAAACCCAAAATGGCATTTCATACATTATCTCAGAAACAAAACAAAATAAAGAGTATTAATTTTAAAGTAGTTTTGCATCCACATATTAAGAACACAGTGTTCCTTTGAGTTTTTCATAGAAAATCTTGTGTCACCACAAATGAAAACAAAATCATTAAATGTTTATGGAATGAGAATAAGAATTAGGTTAACGTTATTTTTCCAGGACTGCACTGTATTTTGGGTGTTTGAATTGGTATATTCAAACTTTCTCAATTAAGAAACCTATCATCTCCCTAATCCCCCTCAAGAAAATAGATTAAAAGGCTTTAAATTATTTAAGGCACAATTATTTACAGCTTTCAATTAAAGAGGAAGAAAACAGGCTTCAAACTTTCTAATTTTTAAGAAAGAGACCTCTATGAAAAGAGAGTAATTATAGGGAGAAAGACAGTTTAAAAAAAAAAAAAAGAAAGAAAGAAAGAAATTACAGCTCTATGGAAAAACAACAGCCTGGAAAAAATTTAACATTAAATTCAGACTATTGCTGCCCATGGCTTAGATAGTACTTTTGGTCACAGACTGCGGGTTCTCTTAAAAAGCAACTGACCAGACTCTCAGCCATGATTAATTCACTGCAATGTGTCCTAAGAGCATTTCCTAGAAACGATGCCATGGAAAACTTAAAAAAAGGAAGAACAGCCCCTCAAAAAAGGGCTGTGATTAAAGAGTTTGGCAGTTTGAGAGTTATTGTACATTGCAAGCACTATTAGAAGCGGTAGTATTAAAGACTGAGGAGAAATTTTACACATATCCTTGCTTATTTTCTTCCTCAGACCAATTCCTCCAGCTCCCCTGGTATCTGTATGCTCACATCCCATAGAAACAGTATCCTGGAAGGTACATGCATGGGGAGATCAGCAGACAAGTTTTGGAACTTAGTTCTCCTTTTCCTGATGTGGGTTCTGGTGACTGAATTCAGCTCATCAGGCTTGGCAGTAAGCAGTTACCTGCTAAGATATCTTTCCAGCCTGTAATAATGACTTTTTAAATGCTTCTGTAATGATACTGAAAAGACACATTCTCTTCTTGGTTGGTCTATGGATTTGGGAGTCATAATGATTTTTAAATTTTATCCTTTAAATAATACACTAACTATGACTAATTCTTCTAAACAGAAATGCTTTAAAGAACATCATGGAAGCAGTCAGAAACGTTACAAAAGTCAGATGAGGCTGTGTTTTCTATACGTGACAGAAAGTTGCACTCAGGAAATCTCAACAATACTGCTGCCTAAACAAGACCAGCTGACATCCCAGCACAGACAGGGAAATTTCATGAGGCCCAGCCCCTAAATGAAAAACTACAGGCAATTAATGGCTACTGAGAGAAGGAGAATCCGTCCTTGTCAGAGACTAGCTTCCAGACATGTTATCCAATCTGAAGCAACAGTAGATGGACTCAGCAGATTGTGTGTGTGTGTGTGTGTGTGTGTGTACCCCCGAGTGTTTACAATAATTAAGAAGAGGTCATGAATTGAAGAGTACAGGGAAGGAATTGAAATAGTAAAAGGGTAGAGTAGAAATGATGGAGATATAATACAAGATTTTTTTAAAAAATGAAATAATGTAAAAAATAAATAAATGAAACAAAGACTTGGGGAAGCTTAAAAAAACAAAACAAAACACACCCACAAAAAATAATGCTCTAGAAAGAAATCTTACCACTGGACATTCCCATAATAAAGCATCCTCAATTTTTTCTGATTTGGAACATTTTGGCATTTCATAAAGTTTTCTTGGCTCTGAAGCAACACTAGGAAAAAATAAAAATAAGTATTATTAGTTTTACACTGAAGCAGTGTTTGATCAGATTTGACACATTTCTTTCACATGTCTGCAGGTGCCGCCCCCCCAACACACATAAACACATACATAATATTATATTGTTTGATATTGCGGTAAATAAGGATCAGGATAAACAAATAGGCCGAATAGATGTTTATTCAGGGAGAAATAACTTACAACCTAGACAGATGAACACCAGGAAATTCAACCAGATCCTCTCCTGTCCAAGTCACGCCAGAAAGAGAGAGCGCCTTCCTGGCCCCCTCCGACCTCCTTCCTGAGGTCACCTCCGCCCATCGCTCCACCCCCCAATGGGCGTGGTCAGTGCTACAGAAGGACTATCTCACTACAATTCCCCTTTTAGTCTAAAGAAAAGATTTAGGCTTAATACAAAACTATATACAAAACAGTGAATAACAAGTGTGCTCTAAGAAAAGGAAAATCGAGAACAAAATGACCTACATATCTAGTCCTAGGGTGAGGGCATAATGGAATTTATAATAGAGTTGTCCTAAGCTGGAAAACGTAAGTCTAGTACCTAATATATCTAACTAGGAAGAGAGAATAATAGTTGTGATAGTTTAATCTTCAACCTCATCAAGACCTGAGAAGGAAATTAACAATACTAGAGTAGACAGGAAATGCGGATGGACAACTTCCAAACGGTGCAGCAAGGACAGAAACAGCAAGCCACCTGAACAGTCACCCTAGGTCTCACAGCGACGTTGGTACACCCAGATTTGGCTAAGGCCAAGAGAACTTGACAGACCACAACAACAGCAGGGAAATAGAATGGCTGTCTTACCCTGACTTGGCAAGGTCAAGCAGTCTTCTATATTTGTCTCCTGCAAGCACATAGGACTGTATGTCCAAATCAGTGGTCAAGGTAGGGGCAATTTTATGCCCAACAGGCCATTAGCTAAGGCGAGATTGAACTCCAGCAGGAGCAACAACAGTGTCCAACATATTTTCGGGAAAGTGCACGGTGCTGTCAGGAGCAACAGTGTCTCATGTCAATGGAGTACTAATATTAAAACATTTAAATGCCATGTTCTGCATGTCTATGAAGTGATTGAAGATTAAGCATCTATATCTGACTAATCTCATAGGTACAGGAAATGTGAGTGAAGATAATCTGTAATACTCGGGAACTTAGCTAAAAAGACTGACTAAAACTTTCCTGAGTAAAGCAGGAACAAATACTTAAACAATATAACTATTTACATATACCTACATGTAAATCCCTAAAATAGAGGTAGAGTATAAGTGTCAAGACAAGAGGTAGAACTATAAAGGGCAGCAAGATAAATATCCCAAATTGTATCAATATACAAAATGTCTTGAACACAAGAAAAGTATACATACATAGAATATGGTAAAAAATGTGCATAAAACATTGTAAGTGGAAATATTTAACACAATATAACAAAATATAAACTTAATTTTACATAGCTTACCACATAAGAATACACAACAATGTAAGCTGTAAAATACTATCTCATTCTTACTCAAATTCTCAAGAAAATAGGCTAATCTACCTATATCCCATCTAAACCATACCTTTACCAACCATTCCCTATTCCTGTCTAAAAGATAAACCCGAGTGTAAGCATCACCCAATCCCAAATAACTAAAACCAACCCAAAGACGATGACTATTATCCCAAAATCTCACTACAGTTTATACTACAATGAAGCCACCAAAATACACATTTCAGATCATCTTCTAGATGCTCCTTGTGTAAATGGAGCTACCTGAACATAGCTTTACAAAATAGCATTACTGAATTCTTCTATCCTTAAATATTTACTGTAAATGTCTGTTAAATCTACTGAGTTCATTCTATTACTCTGATACTTAAAAATGATAACGTATAGATTAAAAAGTTCCCATTATGTTTCGGCTAGTTTAATGTCAATTTCACGAAAGCTAGAGTCATCAAAAGGAGGGAACCTCAAATAAGAAAATGTCTGTGGGCTGGAGAAATGGCTTAGTGTTTAAGAACATTGGCTGCTCTTTCAGAGGTCCTGAGTTCAATATCCAGAAACCACATGGTGGCTGACACCCATCTATAATAGGAACTAATGCCCTCTTCTGGCATGCAGAGCACTCATACATAAAATATAAGTAATGTTTAAGAAGAGAGAGAATAATGTCTTTAAGATTAGATCAGGCTGTAGGTAAGCCTGTAGGGTATTTTTTTAAAATTAGTGACTGATGAGGGAGGGCCCAGCCCATTGGTGGTGGTGCCCATCCTGGGCTGGTGGTCCTCGGTTCTATAAGAAAACAAGCTGAGCAAGGCAGTAAGCAGTACTCCTCTGCATTAGCTCCAGCCTTCATTTTCCTGTCCCATTTGAATACTGTCCTGACTTTCTTTCGGGATGAATAGTGATGTGGAAGTATAATCCAAATAAACCCTTTCCTCCCCAAGTTTCTTTTGTTGTGTTTTTTTTTTTTTTTTTTTTTTTTTTTTTCAAGACAGGGTTTCTCTGTGTAGCTTTGGAGGCTGTCCTGAAACTTGCTCTGTAGACCAAGCTGGCCTTGAACTCACAGAGATCTGTCTGCCTCTGCCTCCCAAGTGCTGGGACTAAAGGCATGGGCCACTCCCCCCCCCCAAGCACTTCCCCCTCTGCTCTCCCCAGGTTTCTTTAATCATGTGGTTTCATCACAGCAATAGTAACCCTAAGACACACTAGTTTGAATAAACATTTGTGGATATAAAAGGAAACACTCTATGTATATTTTATTCTTTTCAGAAATATTAAATATGTATCTAGTTCCACCACTATTGAACATTGTATCTTCCAGCAACTTCAAGGCTAGACTGCATTACTGCAGTATAATCTTAAGGTGCTTCCCAGGCCCCAGGCTCTGTCCCCAGAACTATATCCACTCCCTCCCTACAGAAAAAGTGAACATTGTAGCCTTGGTGCTTACTTTTGAAACAGTATTCCTACCATGTCCAGGCTGTTCTCAAGCAATATTCCGTGCCTCAGCTTCCTTGGGCTGGGGCTACAGCCTAGCACCTCCCTAGCTAGTCTCTACTCTGAGAACTACTGAGATATAGCCATAGATGCTTTCTTTTAACTGATGAACTTTAAAGTTTAACTACTGTGAAGAGGAACAATTTTTAGGATGACATTTTATTCACTTCTGATATCTCTCAGTAACTCAAAGGTTTAAATCAAACAGAATGTCCCAGGAGCAAAAGTAATCTCATGTGATTCTACCTGTGGGTATAACACTCCTCAACAACATGGTGAGGAACACCTGTGTCTTTTATCGCTAGAATACTAATCAACAGCATTTACTCTGACTGCACTTTCAAAAATCAAAACAACTTGGGAAAGTGATGAGCTGGGTTTTAAATGGTACCTAAAGGTCACTATTAATACTGCAAGGTATGATGATGAACATCGTGACCACACAGGATATTGTCTGAATTTCCAATGCCAGAATCAGAGCCTTAAAATAAACAGTGTTTTCAGAAAAAACTGATGAAAATGATTACAGGACAACCACTTAAAGCCTTTGGTTGTTCTTATAAAATCACACAGAGAAACGTTTACTCAAGGAACCCCCCCTGAATTCAATTAAGAATAGTGAGAGTCCAGTGTCTTCTACATCAGGCACATTTCCCCCTTCCTTTCTTCTTCCAGCTCATGAAGTATTATGGTCAAGACTTGTAGGATCCTTCATGCTGCTTTGACTGTGACATTATTTCTCTCCAGCCCTGCCATGTGTTGTTGAGGCTGAGTCCTGTATTAGTGCAGTTGAAAGTTAGGACTCCTTTTGGCCCAGACCCCATGGAAGCTCTACAGGGTAGAATAATAGGACCCTGACATCACTTTGCTCTCATTGTAAGTCCCAGACTGGCCTTATCTTCCTTCCCTAAGCTGAGTATTCCATCCACCTGACCCAATCAGCCTCCACCTCCTGTGATCAGCTCCATAGAGTTGGCTTGAACACTGCCTGGGTAGAGAAGTGGTTCCAAAACAGACAGCCCACAGTTCTTCCCAATAAAACTGACTATCAGCAACACACGTGGAGGAGTTCAAGCGTATGTACACTCTATAAATCATTAGAAGCCATATCTACAGGCGAATGGAGGGTCATGGGTAGATTCACTAGCATTAAAGGCTAAATTGTAGGTTGGCTGATTCACCAAAGGACCAAAAGGGGTAACTACTAGAGCAGTTGATTCTAAACCTGTGGCTTACAACACCTTTAGGGTCATATGTCAGATATCCAGCATAACAGATATTTACATTAAGAATCATAACAGTAGCAAAATTATAGTTATGAAGTAACAATAAAATAATTGTAGGGTCGGGAGTCACCACAACATGAAGAACTGTATTAAAGGGTCTCAACAGCAGGAAGGTTGAGAACTGCTGCACTAGTGTCAAGTCAAACCTCCAAACTCACTAGTCTGACTTGTTTTTACCTAATCCCACAAGAACTTAGATGGTATCATCTCTGAGATAGCTAGCTCAGTTAGTAAAATGCTTGCCATGCAAGCAAGAGGACCTGAGTTTAGATCCCCACCTCTCATGCTTTCTGACACTTGTAATCCCAGAATTGAGGAGGTGGACACAGGCAGATTCACAGGGCTTGCTGGCTAGACCATCTACTGGAAACCTACCTTCCTGGTCCAGAGAAGTAAGACCCTGTCTCTACAATAAGGAGGGTGGCTTCTGAGGAATGGCACTGGAGGTTGATCTATTTCCTCATAGATCATAGCCCATAATTTTTAGAGCTGCAAAGTGAAGGGTGTGTGCTTAGAATATGCTTTAAAATATTTAACATCAAAATAAAGGGCTGGGTAGTGGTAATGCACCTCTATAATCCCACTACTTGGGAGACAGAGGCAGAGGGATCTCTAAGATAGTCAGTTCCGGAACAGCAAGGGCTACACAGAGAAACCCTGCTTCAAAAGTTAAAAAAAAAAAAAGATAAAAGAGGCAAATCAGTAATGTTTAATCTAGGCAATTGGCATGTAAGCATCAATTCACTGTGGCTTTCCCTGTAGCCTGGCCTTGAGTGGTTGTAGATGAGGTTGTTAAATATTATGCATCTAAAACACTATGCTTCTGTTTGAATATTTTCTCTTGTTGAAAAAAGAGTAAGCATTTCTAAAACAAAGACAAATGCCCATCTCCCAAGCAGCATCTAATTATTTCATAACCTGTTTTCTCAATTCTGCTCTTTTAAATGTTATAAAACAGCAAATAGTGCTGAGTAACATGTTATTTTGCCTGTGCTATAATTTTGTGTAAAATAAGTATTTACAAAGATGAAACCTGCAACTTTAGATTTAATGAGGCTTTAAAGTCGCATGCATTTTTCACCTGGTTTTATTATGGACTCCTTTTTCCATTTTCTTATCTCACTAAACACTAAAGAAGCCACGTGGTTCTATAAAAACTATGGTAAGGTAAATTATAGCCAAAAAAATCACCACCATTTACCTGCTCACACAGCACCGGTAATTGTCAAAATATATTCTTCCTCTCTCATAGGCTATAGGTGACTTGGAATGAGTTGTCCAAACATTCTTAAATTTAGTACTCTCCTGGAAGATACAAAGAATTTCGGTTTAGGAAAGAACTCAGTCCCTACCATGGAACCATTTTTAAGTAGGTCGTTTAAATCTACTGTTTTCAAGTACATTGTTTTTATTCTTCCTCCCTCTGCCCATACGTGGTGGTTTAACAGGATGCCCAACTTTTAAATCGATTGTTTGCAGGAAGGCAAACGCTTTTAAAAACTAAAGCCATGAGGCGGACCTATAAGTAGTTTCAGGACACGGGTGCCCCTCCCCACTTATGACCCTCAAAGGAAAGCCGAGCGCGTAAAAAACTGAACCCCGGGGTTGGATGGACCCCAGGCACGCCGACTATGGCGGGCGTCACCTGGCACACCAGCGCCCGCAGGATGCCCAGGTTCGTCCTCTGCACCACGCCCGCGTCGCGTGCGTAGAAGCCTAGAGCCCGGCGACTCAGCCTGCGGCAAACATTGGCCTTCGGGGTCGGGCCCATGGAGACTCCGGAGTCCTCAGGGCCGTAGAGGGGTGCGTCCCTCACTTCCGCGAGGCGTAGCAGCTGCCACCAGCTAGCCACGGGAAGGCTGACGCGGGAGCCCCGCACTAGCTACTCGGAGACAAGAGAGCAAGAGTTAGCACCACTCGGGTTCGGTGCAAAGGAAGAGAACCAACGGCGTCTGTATGGCCTTTCCTGCAGCTCTCGGGATTTCGGCTGCACCTCGCTGCCCGCCGTACCCATGCCCTCTCCCGGAACTGTAGTTCCCATGGACTTTCTCCCCACCCTACCTTATCCCCGTTTCTCATTTCCAAAACTACAATTCCCGTCAGGCAGAGCGAGGGCTAATTTAGCCCGTGCATTCCCACCCACAGCCCTCCTTTCTCGGCCCTGATAGGTTGCGCCGTAGGGCTGCGCGGGGCGGGTCGCCTTCCGGGCTGCACGAGGCTAACAGGGAGACCCTTGGGGGCGCTGTGCAGCCGCCTGCTGGTGGCGCCTCATCTCTGTGTCCGGCACCCAGGGAGCAATCCCTTTCCGCCCTGGTGGTGGGGCGTCTGTCAGTCCTACTTTAGCCCAGCGAGGCTCTGGCCACGTGTCCGGAGGGGCGTTGTGTCCAGTGGGACCCTGCAAAGGTACGCCCTGCGGCTTTCCCTCAGCCGCACATGGGACGTTGTGGATGAGGTTGACTTAAACATTTGGTTGTATAAACACTTATGTTTTTGTATTGTAATTAGTGGTGAGAGATTCTGGTTTTCTCACCAAAGTATTAAATTGCTTTTTCCCAGAGGTTCTCCCTACTGTGGCCAGCGGGGAGCCTGGCTGGTTTTGTGGTAATTGCTGTGTTTTCCTCCTCCTTGCTTCCATTTTTTTCCCATATAGGGAACAAAATATGAAATGCTTGCGTTCTTATTGAACTGCCTAAGAAAATCCAGGTTGACTTCCCTAAGTAAAAAATAACATTCTCTGTTAACTAGCTCTGCCTGCGTGTTCAAAATTCCCAGCACACTAAAATTTCGGTAATTGTATACCAAGTGCCACCGTTACCTTGTTGTAAACCCCTTTAGTGTGGTGTCTGCATCTGCCCATAGGCTTGGTATGTCACTCCTTAGGTGCTCAAAGAAAAAGTCAGTAATCACACCAGCTTTCTTATTGACAGCCTAGAAGTACAATGCTGGATGAGTGTGCTGGGTCACAATTTAAGAGCTTAGGATTTTTTGTTTTGTTTAAAAAAAAAAAAAAAGGAAAGGAAAGGAAAAACTGTCTAAAACTGTCTTTTTACTCTTGCTGCATTTTCTTTGGGGTCTGGCTTTTTTTTTTTTTTTTTTTTTTTTTTGCTGATATTTCATGACTTGCTTATAGCATAGGGTGGAGTATTTTGTATATTCTTAGAAAGCTCTACAATAGTTAATTTGGCCATTCATGAATGCAGCTGTCAATGAGAAAACTGGAACCCAGAAAAATATATCTGGATTTTCTTTAGCTGAAGTGAAATGCAAATCATTGCTGAATTGCCCTCATCATCTCTCTTCTTCCTGTAGCTCCTGTCTCTCTGTGCTCTCCCACCATGGTCCAGCTTTTGTATCTGTGCTTTCTTTCACATAACTTTTTTTTTTTTTTTTTTTTTTTAGGAATTTGTTTTATTAATTTATTTTTTACATCCCAATCCCACTTCCCCCTCCTTCCTCTCCTCCCGCTCCTTTGGGTATGTGCCCAACAGTGGCAGGGTCTTGAGGTAGGTTGATCCCTAATTTTCTGAGAAATCGCCATACTGATTTCCACAGTGGCTGCACAAGTTTACACTCCCACCAGCAATGGAGGAGTGTTCCCTTTCTCCACATCCTCTTCAGGATAAGCTGTCATTAGTGTTTTTTATTTTAGCCATTCTGACCAGTGTAAGATGGAATCTCAGAGTGGTTTTTATTTGCATTTCCCTGATGATTTATGGATGTTGAGCATTTCCTTAAGTGTCTTCCTGACATTTGAGATGGTTCTGTTGAGAATTCTCTGTTTGGATTTGTACCCCATTTTTTAATTGGATTATTTGGTAGTTTGATTTCTGGTTTCTTGAGTTCTTTGTGGATTCTGGAGATCAGCCCTCTGTCAGATGTGGGGTTGGTGAAGATATTTTCCTATTCTGTAGGGAGCCTTTTGTTTATTTATTTTTGTTGTTGTTGACTGTGTCCTTTGCTTTACAGAAGCTTCTCAGTTTCAGGGGTCCCATTTATTAACTGTTGCTCTCAGTGTCTGCTACTGGTGTTCTATTTAGGAAGTGGTCTCCTGTGCCTATGTGTTCAAATATATTTCTCTTCTATGAGGTTCAGTGTGGGTGGATTTATATTGAGGTCTTTGATCCATTTGGACTTAAGTTTGTGCATGACAATAGATATGGATCTGTTTGCATTCTTGTGCATGTTGACAGCCAGTTATACCAGCACCATTTTTTGAATGTTTTCTTTTTTCCATTTTTAACTTCTTTGTCAAAAATTAGGTATTCATACATGGGTTGATATCAGGGTCTTTGATAATTTAGATTCCATTGGTTCATCTTTTTTTTTTTTTTAAATGCCAATTCCAAGCTGTTTTTATTACTATAGTTCTATAGTAGAGCTTGTCATCAGGGATGGTGATGCCCCCAGATGATCCTTTATTCTATTGGATTGTTTTGGCTATCTTGTTTTTTTTTTTTTGTTTGTTTGTTTGTTTTTTGTTTTTCCATATGAAGTTGAATATTGTTCTTTCAAGGTCTGTAAAAAATTGTGCTGTGATTTTGATGGGATTTGCATTGAATCTGTAGATTACTTTTGGTAGGATTGCTATTTTTACATGTTGATCCTACCGATCCAAGAGCATGGAAGATCTTTCCGTGTAAGAGTAGTTTTCAGATATCTTCTTTAAATTCTTTCACTTGAAGTTCTTGTCATACAGGTCTTTCACTTGTTTGGTTAGAGTTACCCCAAGACATTTTATGTTATTGATGGTTATTGTGAAGGGTGATGTTTCTCTGATTTCCTTCTCAGCCTGTTTGTCATCTGTATATAGGAGGGCTACTGATTCTTTTTTTTTTTTTTTTTTTTTAGTTAATCTTGTATCCAGCTACATTACTGAAGGTGTTTATCAGTTGTTGGAATTCTCTGGTAGAATTTTTGGGGCCACTTATATACACTCTCATATCACCAGAAAATAGTGATAGTTTGACTACTTCTTTTCCAATTTGTATCCCTTTGATCTCCTTTTGTTGTTTTATTGCTATAGCTAGAACTTTGAGTACTATGTTGAATAGATATGGAGAGAGTGGATAACCTTATCTTGTTCCTGATTTCAGTGGGGTTGTTTTGAGTTTTTCTCAAACTATTTTCTCAAAGCTATTGGCTTACTGTATATTGCCTTTATTATGTTTGGACATGTTCCTTGTATCCCTATTCTCTTCAAGACCTTTATCATGAAGGGGTGTTGAATTTTGTCAAAGGCTTTTTCAGCATCTAGTGAGATGACCATGTGGTTTTTTTGTTTTGTTTTGTTTTTTTTATTCATTATATGGTGAATTACAGTGACAGATTTTCATATGTTGAACCATCCCTGCATCTACTTGGTCACGGTAGATGATTTTTCTGACATGTTCTTGATGTATTTTATTAAGTATTTTTGCATCGGTGTTCATGAGGGAAATTGGTCTGTAATTCTCTTTCTTAGTTGTGTCTTTGTGTGATTTGGTTATCAGGGTAACTGTAGCTTCATAAAAAGGTTTGGCAATGTTCCTTCTGTTTCTGTTGTGTGGAATAATTTGAGGAGTATTAGTATTAGATCTTCTTTGAACATCTGGTAGAATTCTGCACTCAATTCAGCTGGGCCTGGGATTTTTTTTTTTTTTTTTTTGGTTGGGAGGCTATTGATAACTGTTTCTATTTTCTTAGGGGTTATAGGTATATTTAAATTGTTTACCTGTTCTTGATTTAATTTTGATATGTGGCACTTATCTAGAAAATTGTCTATCTCCTTACAGTTTTCCAGTTTTGTGGAGTACAGGTTTTTGAAGTGTGACCTGATGATTCTCTGGATTTCCTCGGTGTCTGTTGTTCTGTCCCTCTTTTAGTTTCCTTTCTGACATTGTTGATTTGAATATTCTGTCTCTGTCTTTTGGTTAGTTTGAATAAAGGTCTATTTTGTTTAATTTCTCAAAGAACCAACTCTTTGTCTCATTGATTCTTTGCATTGTTTTTTTTTTTTGTTTGTTTGTTTGTTTCTACTTTATTATATTAGCCCTCAATTTGACTAATTTCTTGCCATCTACTCTTTCTGGGTGAGTTTGTTTCTTTTTGTTCTAGATCTTTCAGTTGTTCCATTAATTCACTAGTGTGGGATTTTTCCAGCTTCTTTATGTAGGCATTTAGTGCTATGAACTTTCCTCTTAGCACTGCTTTCATTGTGTCCCTTAAGTTTGGGTATGTAGTGTGTCCATTTTCATTAAATTTTAGGAAGTCTCTTCTTCCTTCCTTTCTCTCTCTCTCTCTCTCTCTCTCTCTCTCTATCTCTCTCTATCTCTCTCTCTCTCTCTCCCTTCCTTCCTTTTTTTCTTTCTTCATTAACCCAGTTGATCATTGTTCACTTTCCATGTGTTTGTGGGCTTTCTAAAATTAATATTGCTGTTGATTTCTAACTTTAAGCTGTAGTGATCTGATAGGGTACAGAAGTTTATTTTGTTTTGTTTTGTTTTAATCTGTTGAGGTTTGCTTTGTTACAGAGTATGTGGTCGATTTTTGAGAAGGTTCCATGAGGTGCTGAAAAGAAAGTATATTCTTTTGTGTTTGGGTGGAATATTCTATAGATGTCTGTTAAGTCCATTTGAGTCATAACCTCTATTAGTTCCCTTATTTCTCTGTTAAGCTTCTGTCTGGCAGACCTGTCCAGTGGTGAGAGTGGGGTGCTTAAGTCTCCCACTATTTGTGTGTGGGGCTTGATTTTGTGATTTATGCTTTAGTAATGTTTCTTTTACAAATGGAAGAGCTCTTGTGTTTGGGGCATAGATGTTCAGAATTAAGATTTTCTCTTGATGGATTTTTCCTTG